TTTCTTAATACAAGTGTCTGTTTGTCTGCTTGTTATAAACAATCCTAGTGTTCCTTTTGCCTGTATTTTTCTAAGCCAGTTGTTCTTTTTAAAAATTTTGTGAGCGTGCCTTAGAAGACCAGAAGAACAACACTTACGTTTCAGGAACTGACGTTGTTGAGAGAAGATGCCTCTTCCAAACCAGGATATAAAAGGTAAGCTTTCTGTCTATCTTTGTCCCGCTCGTGTTTCCCTTTAACTTTCCAGTCAATAGCAACTTCTCAAATCCCTTTGTTCGATTTATGTCTCCACAGAATCTCAACTGTCTCTTCCTTGTGGTTCTGATTAGAGAGTCTTCGTACTTTCCCATTTGAACATTCTTCTTAGATACATTTGGACCTCTAATGTTCACTGTTATATCTGTTACTTTAGATATAGACTCTAGTCGTCTATTTTTTTAAAATCTGTGTGTCCCTTTTTGCATCTGGCGTACCAGTGCTGTTTATAGCCTTCTGTTCTAAGTTTTTGTTTGGTAATGCCATAATGGAGGCGTTTTGTACCCCTTCTTTTTTGATGGTCCATAAAGTTTAATGTCTATCAGGTATGCTGGCACTGAACCTCAATCGCAATAGCACAGATTTTCAATATACTTTAAACGTAGTTTGTTCAATATTTTATTTAGTTTTCATCAAGATTGATCTTTTGAGGCTTTAGATATCTTGCTCTGGATGCTTTTGTTTATTTCCGAAATATTTTGAATATATTGGTGTATGAATTTGCAGTATTTGGTCTTGATACTTTCTGTTTCTTCACATTAACGAATAGTTAATCCATCACCTTTCAATCTATTTGCTTTCTTTCTTTTCATCATTGTTGTGTTTTCTTCTTTCCTCTACAAAATCAAGATTTCTGGACTTTTCTAAATTTTTTGTTGTCTTTCCGTTTGGTGACAGGTATAAACGTTTGCTGCTTTTGAAGACTTCTCTTCATCTTGTGACACTGTTTCTGCATTTTTCAGATGTCCAAAACAACTCAGGCTTGTTCTCGACTTTTACAGCATATTTCACCCTCATTTCTTTGCCAGTAGGCGAAAGGACCAGCTGCAATTTTGGCGGGGTCTTTTTTTGATGGTTCTTCTTCAGTTGTTTTTTTTTTCAGTTTGATTTTCATTCATGCTTGCTTTGACGTAATTGACGCTCTGGGGAGTTCTTGCATAGGAATGTAGTCTATATGTGGTCTATTTGGTTTCTTAAATTGTGTGCACTATTCTTCTTCGCCCAGCATGATGGATCTTCTTGTCTGGTTCTTGAAACAACTGTTCATCTGAGCGATTTTGTGTTCTTTTCACAATTTTACACTTTTCTCACGTCTTTCGTTGGTATCTCCAATTCCGAATACCACCATTCTGTTCTCTATCCGGTCTTTTTTAGTGTTTACACATTGCGATCACCCATTACCTGTTGATATTATTTTGTGACTTGATACTCAACTGCTATTTCAACGTCTTCATAGAATATCTCTATTTCTAATAAGTCCTTATTTGTAGTTGATACACATACTGGGACAATCACTATCTTTCATGGTTTTCTATTCCGTTTGATAACAATTAGTCTGTCCTGGATATCCGGAAACCGCTGAGGACCCAGACTTTTCAGAGTCAAGCACGATGCCAACTTTTCTGGGATGCTCGTCTCTTTCTTCACGTAACCATCGAAGATCCATGTACACATCAATGTTTTACCTTTGCCTTTAGATCTACAGAAACAACAAATAATATAAGTCTATGTGGAATTATACCTGGATTTTTTAAAGAGATGATTTTGGGGAATCGACCCTGTAAGAGAGCAAATTATAGTTTTCTACTGGAGAACTAATTGAGGATTGTGCTACACAATATATGGTAAGCCAATTATTGTCTTTGCAGTTGTGGAATACTGTGTGTTAATGTCAGTATCACTATTAGTAATGACATGCTTTTACACTAATGAGAAGTATTACGCCGAATGGCACCCCCCCAAAAAAAAGTGAACTTCTTGTAAAGTTTTATCTTGTGTACACTTTGCAGAGACGGACTCAAGTGACCCCAAACCAAACGAGAAGATCCTTGCACCATGGGACGGCTTTGACTACCTTTATATCGTGGTCTACGACATTCATGGGCAGGCAGTGGGGAAGTTGGTGCATGTCAGCGCCATGGAAGAGATAATGGAACTAGGGCAAACTGTGTACTCAGGTAGGTAAGAGTCGTGGCTCAATGTTGTATCCAAAAGAAAGCAGCTTTATCCTTTTTTTGTGCTTAATTACAATAAACTGCTAAAATGTTGTATAAAAAAAACACATCCAGAATGAAACGAAAATGCTGTCGATACGCACTTAAGAAGGAGCAAGATTCCCTGTCTGGGACGGAACGTTAAATAGGAACAGAACCTGCTTGTTTTGAAATGACATACTCTGGGTACCTTTTGTCTTTTTACAATGCATCTTGTCCGTGGAGGGGAGATGATTATAATTTGTGAAAGGGTACAGACTATAAAATAGATAACTTGAACAACAGAGAGGAAGGAAATACCCAAGTACCAGAACATGATACCTGCTTTTAGGTGGGGGAAAATCTCATTTATCCACGGACACTCACTCAGACAAACACACTCTCATACACACAAAACAAACATACCCACACACACAGTCACAACACTCGAACACACACACATACATACCATACATACATACCATACATACATACCATACATACACACACACACACACACACACACACACACACACACACACACACACACACACACACACACACACACACACTCACTCACAATACAGATATAATCGCAAATCCAGAAACTACAATTTCTTCTCTTGCGTTCTGAAACAATCCTTCCATCAATTTGATACAATATAACATAGGTAGGCCTACATCAAAATAAAACGTAAGCCTGTTTTTACACTCCCATCGACACAAATTAGGTCACATAGGATCACAGGCTTCTGACCCGGCCTGTCATGGCTAACTCAGGAAGTGGGTGGTTGGCGGGTGCTCTGGTGTGGTTTGCTTCTTCTTTCCTATCAAACATCTATCGTCCTTATCTCCTCTTCTTCTTTTTTATGTTTGTTACTCTCTTGTAA